TTTTCTTATATCTTATATTAATTCATTCATTTCATATACATTAAGTTTAAAAAAATATTCACTCACTTGTTCCACTCACATTATCTCTTTTGTAATAATAACAAATCACATGTACGAATGAAACGAACATAAGAATAAAACAAAAAAGATACAATAAAAGAAAGAAAAGGACAAAATAAAAACAAAACACCTTACATTATGGTATTCCCATTGTTATTATTCTTATTATTATTGTATTGTTATTCTGTTATTTCCACCCTAACCTTATTAAATAAAAAATAACGAAAAAATCAGCCTCATTTTGTTTTGTATCTAGCAATATGGTATTGTAGTGTAGGTACATAAGAGAGAGGGAAAGATATTAACCCTCCTTAGGCTTGTATTTTTGTTTTCTTTTTTGTTGGTTATATGTACATCAAGGGTGGTGATTTTTTCATTTTTCTTTCCTATGTCACATGTAATCATACTAACATCATAAATACGTAGATGATATTATATACTTACTCTCGTTAAATTTGAAAAGTTGAACAATTTCTTCCATACATTACGTACAAATTCATCTCTTGACGTACTCATTGGAAATATACTATACATTGTATATGCTATAAATGTATAACATACAAACGCGTATGACGTTTAATGTTTTGTTGTAATTTGAAATTTTGTAAAAAGAGAAATGAAATCTGTCATTTTGTTTAGTTTTCTTTTTTTTGTGTTTTTTAGTTTTTAGTCAGTGTTACTAACTAATACGAATATAATTTTACATACATGAATACATACATATTCTTAATATACAAAATTATCTTAATTTTTTCTTATTCGTTTTATTTGGGATTTATTCTCTTATTTTTTTATTTTGTGTTTTACGTGATATTCTCTTTATTTTTTCGTTTTACTGTTATGATTTTCTTTTCTTTGAATCCTCTTCACATTTCTTTGCTTCTTTTTATTTTTCTTTCTCTGTTCATTCCTTTTACTTTTTTATCTATTTTCATTTTTTCCTGCAACAGCTGTTTTATAGTAATTTCTGTATTCCCTTTTTCCTCGTAATTCTAACAGATGGAGTGAAAATTTTAAAAGAGTTCAAATAAATGAATGCCAACATAGCTATTAAAAATTTAGAAATTTGAAAATGTTTTCATGCATCACGCTTTAAAATTCTAGTGTGACTGATTTAAATAAATATGTGCTACAAAAGCTTACGTTCAGTTTCAATACACACAAATTTCAATTTATTATTATTTTGCATTCCATCCTCTTTAAAGAAAAATATCGAAATTTAATTTTTTCCAATTTTTCTTTTATAATTGGAATTAAATTAATTTATTTTTCTTTCTTAATTTCATATTGCCAAAAAAAAAGGAAAATCGTACTTTAAACACACTAAGAAAATGTTATTTCTATTTCATATATGTATTTTACGTTTACAATTACATAATTTTCGGTAGTAAAAAATTAAAGAGAGTAAAATGGAGCAAAATAATCAAACTGTTATATAGAAGAGTGTAAAAGATGAAAATGATCTCATATATAGTGTAAAGTAGAATATTATATAATATGAATGTGGTTAAGTAGTATAAAAAATAGTAAAAATAGCTCAGAATTTTTAATATATTGAATTCAATTTAATACGTCTTGGGTTTCGAAATGCAGCAACAGTATATTAGTAGTTGAAAGCAGTTCAGAAATTTTTATAATGGAAATGACTTCAATTTGAATATGGTAAAATATTTTTCACATAAATAGAGAATATTTATCAAAATTGAGAAACTTTAGATAAAAACTTTTTGACTTCTTTTGTTTGATTAGAATGAGAAAACTTTTGTCAAATTTAAATCAAACCAAAGATGTTTGCAAAAGATGTTTGATATATATAAGCTCTAATAGATGTTTGATATACTAATGTAATTCTTAACTTCCTTTTTAGAGAATTATACTAAGAAGGACCTGTAACTGAACATCTTAAAGGGAGACTTGTTATCATATTATCATTTACTAAACGGTTATACAACGAAAAATATATATATGAAATGAGATACTGCGACAATACCCTGAAACATATATAATTAGATGGAATTTCCTTTTCTTAAATTTTATTGTTATAATTATTTAAACATATATTTGTATGTATATATTATTTATACATATGTAATACAAGTGTTCACGTATACAATGTTATATAATAACCAATATATATTTTATGTATTTATAATATATAATTTTTTTTATTACAAATATATTAAATAATTTTTTTCCTTTTAATTGTTTTCCGATTTTTTTCCCCTGTTTTCGTTTTTCATCCAGTTTCTTTCTACAATACTATACATATTATATTTTTCTTATTTGAACTCCCAATATAAATATATTTTTCTTCTCATTATAAAATTGGCATCATTATATACTTATAGTATTGCATGAATACTTGGTATGTATATGCATGTAGGCAAGTACAAGTATAGCGCGACCGACAATAATATGCTTGATGGTGTGACGGCGTCTCTATATTATATCGATTGGAAAATTGGGTGGGAAAAATAATAAATAAAATATGAAATACAAATTTTGGTACATTTACATACATACTTAATATAGCAACGCGTAAATATATTTATAATAAAATTATTACAGATGTAGAGAAATAAATAATAAATTTTTTCTAATAAAATATGTGTGTATGTAAGAATGTATATTATGTACAATATATTTATTAATATAAAAACTAAAAGAAATTAAAAGAAAAAGTTTTGAAAATATTATAAAAATAAAAATTTAAGAGCAAATTTATTTTTAATCAATATTTTAAAATAAAAATGTTTTTATAAAATTTCCGAATTAAAATGAATTTTTTATTGTTTTTCCAAAATATAAATTTATTTTTAGTTAAATTTCATATTTTATCATACAAAATATTTTTATAGCCATTGATTAAATTAAAATTGAATTCGCTTTTTCTCATTAATTTCCCATGAGTATTTAGTTTATCACCTAGCCAATGCTCTGGTTCAATAATAATCTAGTAATCACAGATTGGTGGTTATGCTGAGTCGTTTATTCAATAGTAATTTTCGGAAAACAAAAATGATCGAGAGATTGCCGGGCAACATAAGACGTTGTTGAATTAATTTTAATATAGTTAAATAAAAATTATAACATAAAATATTCATTGAATCTCTATCACATTTGACAAAATGTTTTTCCAAAAAAATTTAATAAAATATTTCGAATATTTTTTACTGAAATTCTTAAAAATTTGTCAAATTGTTTATCTTAACTCAATGTTAAATTGTGTTTGCAATATTTCGAAACTCTTTTTCCGCTAACTTTCAAATATAGCGAAATTTTTCCGCTAACTTTCAACTCTACTACAATAGCTGCAAAAATTTTTTTTCGAAATTTTCTTTTCTAAATTTAATTATAAATTTTTATTATATAATTAAATTTCAATATAAGCAAAATATTTAATATGATTTGTTGTATATTATTTAAGTGAATCCATGTGGAAAACTTTGCAAAAAAATTTTTAAGAAAAAAATCAAAATATAAAAATGAATTTTTTTACTAAACAATTTTTTGTGTAAAATTTAACAAAGAAACACCAAATTTGCAGGAAAATTAAAAAGTTCATTAATTATTTTTTTTTTCTATTTAAGAATGTCAATCTCAGCTTAAATTTACCATAAAATTAGATATGCTGTGAAAAATTTGCATCACTTATGCAAATTCTAGACCCTTATCGAAAAGAAAAAAGAAATTCTATGCAATTTGTGCACCTCTTTTAAAAAAATTTTAACACTTTTCACAATGTTTCAGATCTAATTAAAAAAATTGAATGTATAGAAAGGGAGGAGTAAAATTTTGCTATGAACCAAAATGAAGAGAAAAAAATTTAAATTAAAGTGCATGGTTACCTTGTAAACTGATTGAAGTTTACATGAGGCGAACGCAATTTTTGGCAAAGACGTGGCATTTTTTCGCTGTTCTTTCATTTTTTATTGTTCTTTATTTTATTTATAAAATCATTGTTTCAACGGAAATGTTATAATATTGTTCACACTTTTTTTTAAAATTAAAATTTGAACTTTCTTCCTTTTCTTGTTTTGTATTGTTGTGTTCGTTTTTTTTTGAGATCAGTGGGTTTCGCAGTGTTTATTTATTTTTCAATTTTATGTGCACACATAAGCATACATTTGTGTGAACATGTTCATTGAAATAATTTCACACAAGAATACATAATAAAATAAACTCAATCTCATTTATTCAATTTTACTTCTGCTAGCTTAGGGTATCTTGATGAATTAAAAAATTCTAAATTTCTAAAATTTTTGATTACCGAATGGTTCTAATTTCATGATGGTAAAGCCTTTATATTAATTTATATAATTTACAAAAAATTTTAATGAGGAAAAATGAAGTTCAAACTAAAATTAGAACGAACACACTTTTTATAATCATAAATGTCATGTTGGTTGACATAGTAAATTATATACTTACTTTTCCAACTTTTTCATTAAAATTTAAAAAGTGCTTTTCTGAAATGCCTCCCTTTTTATACTCACTTATTCAATCTTAAATTAATTTGTTAAAAACTAAACATTTTAGAATAATAAGATTTTCTAAATCAAATAAGATTATAATGATAATTTTTTGACACTAACATCAACACATATTAATTTTGAAACAAAAATTTTCTGAAGAAGAGCAAAATGGACGAAATGTTTAACATTAATTTAAAATTTAAAGTGATTCCAAGTTATTTAGGTTGAAATTAATTATTTTTGTTCTAATTTAAAATAGAAAGTGATTTGTGTATTTCAAATTTAAAAACCAAATTCGGAAGCAATTCTTTTGTAGAAAGTGTAGACTAAATTGTTAGAGGGTATTCTAATTTAATTTGATTGATAAGTTGAAAAATAAATAAAAATTTGATTTCCACCTAGTTTTTTGAAAATAACTAGGTTTTTTAAGGTTATTCAGAATCAACTTTAAAATAAACTCAAATATAACAATAGAATTGCATTTTATTTAAGGCAAGAAATGCTCATTTACTAAAAAACACTAATCAATTTTAACTTTGTGTCCCTCTTTCAGTTCACGTTTTTCTTAATCTAATATTTATTTAATAATTAATTTATTATGAATTTAAACTATAACTTGACTACTAAATATAGTTAACAATTATTACAAAATCATTATAAAATCAATTTCCATCAATAGTATCCAAATTTCTTAACATATCGGTTAACATTAAAAAAAGCAATTGCGTGAAATACTATGGCTAATGCAAGTAATCCAAAATAATCTATAATTAATGTTAGTGGACTTGTACTGAATGCATATTTTATGATAACATCTGTTCCATTTCTAACACATGGCATACTACTTTGTATTGGACAATCTAAAATAAAAAAATTTAAATTTTTTGAATTTATAAAAAATTTTGATTAATAAACATTTTCACCTATATCTGTAACATCACTCCAATAATCGTATAGAAGACCTTCATTAGCAAAATAAAATAATGAAATATATTTCATTAATGGTACTGCATTAACATTATAATAAATACCACCGAATACTAAAAAAACTAAATCAAATGGTGCTGCCATTTCAGATGCCATCTTCTCTGATTCAAATATGCTTGAAATAAATGTACCATAGGCTATAGCTGTTAATCCAGATACAGATAATGTCGTTGCCATTGATATATATGTTAGAAATCCTTTTGAATATTTAATTATACTATATATAACACCAAAAAATAAATAACTATATATGAATGGTTTTGGTATTAATGCAATTACATTTGCCATATAATAAGCTGATAAACTATACGTTCCTTCACCAGTTTCACGCCGCAATATTGGCAATAATTGTGAAAATTCATGTACATGTGCATATGATGATGTAAATATTATTTCAGATGATATCATAAAAAATGATCCTGTTATATCACTAACAGTTATCTGATTATATCCTTGAACAGTTGAATACATAATTGCTAATGTAAATGATGTGATCATAAAAAATGCTGCAGTTGTTATTGTTTCTTTAATATTGCGACGTGTCTCTATACCAATTCTTTTAACAAGCAAATATACTTGATAAAACCACGAAATTTTTCTTCTAAAAAATTTTAATTAAAATTATATAATTAGAGATTTAGTTATTTGAAACACAATTTTCATATATATTTACATGTTATTAACTTGATTCAAACTATCTGGACCAAAATATTCCCATTCAATACGACTACAATTATCATATTCTTGTTCATAATTATTTTTAATGATAGCATTACATTTATTTTCACCATTATCACTTGTTATTAATTTTAAATAAAAATCAGCTGGATTACAATTCCTTGGACAATAAAATCCTAACCTAAAAAATTTGAAAATATTGTTTAGAAATTTTTTAAATTATTATTATTATTATTAATATTACAAAAATAGAAAAAAAATTACTTTGAGAAAAATATATAAGCATCATCTGTGCTCCCTTGATATAAAATTTGACCATTGCTTATCAAAACGATATGTGTGAACAATTCAAAGACTTCAGATGTTGGTTGATGAATAGAGCAAATAATTCCTTTTGCATATTGTTTTCTAAAATCTTCATCTAAACCAGACGATTTCGACCAATGAAAACTCTCTTCTTGCGGTGTCATGATTTTCATTTCAATATTTTCATTATTACTCTCTAAAAATGCACTAACACTTGACTCCGATACTTTTAATTTACGACCTGGTTGTGTTAATTGTCGTAAAGTTTTTATCACACTATATGCATTATAACTATCTAAACCAGTTGTTGGTTCGTCACAAAATATAAAAGGTGGATCTGTAATAAGCTTTCCAATAAAAAAAATAAAGAAAAAATTAATTTTCATTTAATGGAAAAAATAAAACACAAAATGATTTACCTCTTCTGCGAGACTTAATCTTTTCTTTTCTCCACCAGACAAATGAAATATTCTCGTGTCGGCACAATCTTTAAGACCAACTTTAATTAAAATTTGATTAACACGATATTTTTTATCAATTGTTCTAGTTGACTTATCCATTTTGAAATGGGACTAAGAATATAAAAAAAAAACAAAAATTAGAAATCTTACAATTTTAAAAATTTTAAAAATAAATAATTTTTTTTGCATACGCTGAAAATGGTTGGCATAAGCACATGTCGGCAACAATAATTTGCATATAATTAGGATGAACGTTTTTGTTTGAGAGCGAAAAAAATTGTGTTTTATCGTGAAAAGTTCAATTTTAATATTTAGAAGAAAATTTTTAGAAAAGCGATAAACTTAAAAAATGTTCAATTTTGAACTTATAGACTATTTCCACAATGACGTTAGAAAAAAATTAGAATTTTTCAGATAGAAGTCAGCAAGGCGATTTCATTAAGAGAATGGTGAACTTGAGTGAGTAGTTTAAAATTACGTTCAATCACTTTATTGAAGATGTAAATGGACAATTCTTTATTTAACATGCTTAACTGAAACTATAAATATTGTAGGGCTAACGTACCTGTGAAAAGTTATGAGGCAGATTTCGCTTTAACATATTTTCATCACTAAAACAAAAAGCATGTTAATATTTTGAAAAATTTGCTGTAAACTATTCGGTGAACTTTTCTTGAACGTCAATAAATGCATGACAGCGATATGACATCCAATTACTTGGGTGAGTACAAATGTGAACGTACGTATGTATGTATGTTGTGATACTTTTCAAATGCTTATTATGTCAATAAAATTTAGAAAAAGGAACAAAAGGTTATTACTATAATTTTTCATAACAATCGATGTACATTTTTATTCCAGACTACCATCTTTACATGTGATCCCACAACATTTCATTGTATGTATGTATGTAAGTAAGTATAATAACAAAAGTTAAAATAATAAGGAGATTTTAATTTTTTAATTAAAAACCTACATGTTAAAGCTACGCATACAAATTACATATGTATGTATATACTTACAACAAAATATAAATGTTCATAGGCAGTAAGTGTTCGAACTGAAATACTATATTGCGGAAGAAAGCTAGATATTTTTGTCATTTCATTTTGATCGATTCTCAATCCATTTAACAAAACATCACCATTAACACTACCACGTAGACGTTGTGATATTGCAGCTAATAGAGTTGTTTTTCCAGATCCGCTTTTGAGACGAAACCAAATAAAAGAAAAAGGGGAAAAATTAAATTTATATTTACAGTTAAATTAAGATTATTTACATACGTATGTATATACAGTTTAATGCACATAATTATTGTGAAGAATGTTATACGTACGTTTAATGTGAAGAATGTTATAAATTCATACCAATTCCTTAGTAGCGTTAAAAAATAAAAATTTTCCAAAAGGAACACAGACCATCTGTTCCAGCGTTAACTTAAAATCGCATTAAGCTAGATACATAGTTTCATAAACTTAATAAAATGGTTCCATGCTTTGGCCTAAGCGCTACTTAAATCAATTACATCGAAATTAATTTTAATCCGTATAAATCAATGACAAAATTCATGAGCAGCATTTCATTTATGTTTACGATCTGAGTTTCAATATTTTAAATATTTTTTATTCTAACTCGACAGAGAATTAATTTATCGTCAGTTGCTTTTGTAGATTGTAGCTTGTACAGATAGGGTAACAGGGCACCGCCACTAAGTGGCGCCACTGGACACGCCCCTACAACACTCGCTCCAAACCCACTCCCCTTATAAACTAAAGTCAATTGAGAGGCTTGGCAGACCGCACCTCTGCCGGTGTAAGTACGTAATTCCCCAGTATTTCCCTTTTCATGCGGATGACAGTCCAAAAATCTCCTGGAAGGTGCACTGAGATCCCCTTCCTCCTCCCCATAACATTTTCCAGTGCACTCTCACTCTAGGCTAAGGTAACTATTAAGCCTACAATTACCAATGTAGATGCCTGTGAAAATTCTTTTTTGGTTAAAAATAGTTCGCTCATAATACTTCGCAAGCTTACAATAAGTGTGACCACCACTGTATGTTATGCGAACAAAATATATGTACATATGTATGTATGAAAAAATAAAAAATATTATTGCTTCTTTTCCTTTATGTACAATAATGGAAAAATTTAATATAATCAGATATAACCTAGATAAAGTTAATTTACCTGGGACCAAGTACTGCTATTAAATTTCCAGTTATTAAACAACCGCTTGCTAATATACACAAATATTTAAAAAAAAAAGAAAATCAATAAATTTTATAAAGAAAAATTTTTATAAAAAGAAGACAATAATTTTTTATCAAATTTGAATTTTCTTACCTGGTCTTAGAATTTGTAACTCTTCTGGTTTTCTGTGACACTGCCAAAACTTTAATCTAGTTCTAAGATCTTGTTTAATTGGAACAGAATATTCTAAATCCTTCCATTGCAAGCAAAGTTCAGGCTTATTCATTTTTTACTTTCTATATAAATTAGTTAAAAAAATTTTTCTTCTCCGCGGTCAAATGCAGGTCATTAACTTTTCTTAAAGTAATTAAATAAAATAGAATATATATGTAGGCAGGTATTTATGGTATTCCCAATCTTAATGTTATGAAATATGTTTCTTGATTAATGTATGGTTTCTACCATACATTAAATTTGACACATTAAACATGTGTCCGAGTAAATTCTCGGGTTTTTATGAGCTATTAAATCAGTTTGAAAAGTAAGAAAAAAAGTGAAGGAGCCCACTTTTCCAGCAAATGTTATCGATTTAACATCAGTGAAGGGTACTAAGTATGAAATGTGGTTTTACAATAATTTTGTATTAGACTTTGACAATTTGTTAGAAAAGTATAAAAATTTCATAAGCTCTTAAATTGTGTTAAAAACGAGAAAAAAAATAGAGTTGACTTTGTCAACTCTGTGATTCCCGTACGAATTTGTTATCCTATGTGCTAATAACTAATGTGCCATAACTAACTATGGGGCAGACTATGACTTTAAGTTGCCATATTACCATATTAATTTATGCAAAATTTCAGTACTATGTGTTTTTCAAAATACTGGTGTGCCAAACTACTATTAAAATTGTATGGCAGCTACCAGAAAGAGCCAAGAAATTTTAGCGAATTTTATCAAGCAAATCGGGCCTACTAATATATTCACTTGTGTGAAATCTCAATATCACAGCTTTTATAGTTTCTGAGATATAACCAAATAACTTTTGAAGTTGTATGGCAGGTACCAGAAGGAGCCAAGTAATTTCAACGACTTTTATGAGACACATTGGCCCTACTAATATATTCGTTTATGTGAAATTTCAATACCATAGCTTTAATAGTTTCTGAAATATAGTCAAATAACTTTTGAAGTTGTATGGCAGGTACCAGAAGGAGCCAAGTAATTTCAACGCCTTTTATGAGACACATTCGCCCTACTAATATATTAGTTTGTGTGAAATTTCAATACCACAACTTTTATAGTTTCTGAGATATAGCCAAATAAATTTTGAAGTTGTATGGCAGCTACCCAAACCGGTACCCGGATCATGTCCAATTTAAATAGGGTTCTGGCACTTACTACAATAAATCATTTGTGAAAATTTGGTGAGTTTAGCTCAATTAGTTTTTGAGTTATCGTTCGGGCGGACGGACGGACGGACGGACGGACAGACGGACGGACGGACAGACAAAGCTAAATCAACTCAGAATTTGACGCAGATCAAAAACATACACTTGAGTCTATATCTAAGACAGTTATTTCTTAGCGTTACAAACGGTAAGGCAAATTTAGTATACCCTTCGAACATACGTTCGTACGGGTATAAAAGCTATACTAGTGTATAAGCGCGATAATTGATTAAAAACTTATTGACAGAATTGTCGGGAATTTAAGCAATTTAAAAATTTCTGTCATTTTCGAACTCTTACAAATCTTAGAAATCTTGGCTATAGTGAATTGTTGAATTTTCAAAAATACCCTACATTTAGCTATTATTTAGATAAATTGTAAATAAAAGCACCTTGATTTCGACAAAAAATTAATATATTAAAATTTTGCTGTAAAAAGAAAATGGTAATTTTAGAGAAAAATGTGCGTTAAATTAAAAAAAAAAATGCTTCGAAACTTCGAAAATTTTAACATATAAGAGGCACATTGTTTGAATTTCGGTGCTATATGAAATAAATTGTGCTAAAAACCCGAGTTTGTAATAAAACTTAAGGAAACATTAAATTTATGAATACACCAAATTTCGAATGTATTTCCTGAAATTCACATGCCTTCACTTTTAAGTATTTTATGACTTAAAATATATTTTTTTTGATGGCAAGTACTTAAATAATTTTTATCTCACCTCAAGGTTCTTATTATTTAAAGATAACACTTTTTCTTTATTTTATGTGCAAACGAGTTTAATCCAATTATTGTAGTTTTAGGATTTTTTTCCCCTATTTCTGAATATTTACTAAGAATTTAATTTCACTTATTATCTTAAAAATCATTAAAAACAGTAGTTTTTCACATAATTAAAAATAACAATTTTAATATTCATGATAACACTAAAACCTCAAAGACACGATTATTAACTGCACATTGTGTTGTAAACCGAAACCTACCGACCGAAATTCTGTTAAGACTTAAGAGTTTTTATGATTTACTTTTTAGTAATTGCTTAGATTAGAACATATTGCTTAGAAAATTATTTTAGTACTAAATTTTTATTGTGCATATTTATATCCGCGAATTTATCTAATCCCCGATACCATCAATAATACTCCTATATATCGAGACTGAAACGCACCCTACGATTGATAAAACTCAACTGAAGTCAGTTAAATCATCTTTTTGTGGTAAAACGTATGCCTTCATATATCACTCGTCTTTCTTATACTGTTTTGCTTAATACATTTGTCGCTTTTAGAAAACAAATGAGCATATTGTTGTAGGAGAGCTTTTAAACCTGCACTACTTATAATAAAAGCGAAAAAAAAAAGTAAATAATAATAAAAACCCGTTAAGGTAATGAAGAGACAAAAAATAAAAATTTTCTAACTGTTTCTATTTCATTTTCAGTTACATATGAATGTGTGTAGGGCATATTTTCTGATTTTCACTTAAAAAAATCTCAAAGGAAAGGAAAATTTTTAAAAAACCTAAATTCACAGCATACATATTATAACTAGTAGGTATACAGAAGATCTCAAATTACATGATTTGTGGGATTTCATTTTCAAATTAAGAAAGTGTTTGCGTTTGTTACATATTTACAAGTCTAATGTATAATTTACAAATGTAGTATTTCTTATAGTAAGAGATATATTTATATATGCTTAAGTTTGGTTAAGTATTCATGCATATAATCCGAGATAACAGTTCAAACATATTTGGTAACACTACTCTTAAATTCTTATCATAAAATATTTCACTGTTTTGTAATTTTTGAAATGTTTGTTGTTAGTAATTTATGATTTGTTATTTTAACTTGTTTTACAATTAATGAATGTTAAAACTCAATTTAAGTGTAATATAAAAATTATTAAAATTTTCATTTATTTTAAAATATTTTGGAGTTCGACCAGTTGGATTAGGGTAGCCGGATTACGTTGTGCTGGATGTCAGGATTCAACATGGACATCATGTTGGAGGGACATCAGGTTTCTTCGTTTTTTCCAACGTCAAGGTATATGGCGGATAACATGTGAGGAATCCTTGCGAGTTTCCTAACGGGACATTACAGACATAAGAAAAACCTAAAACGTGGCTTACGGACTGGCTGGTTTTGAAGATTCGGTGGGGAAGGGAGATCCCGATACATCTTCTCAAGAAGTGTGGAACGTTGATTTATAAGAGAAGGAACAGCTTGGATGCACCTTCAGTGTTGGGAATGGTTGTTTTTGGATATTTCTCTGGATAAGTTGCTCGAATTCATTACAAATTTGCGGCCTGGGGATATGCTCTAGGCATTGTATAAAATGTTGTGTATAAAAGGTTTGAGGATATTAGGTTCTATGACAAAAATATAGAGTTGCTTACGTTTTTGTGTAAAATAAGGGTTTTTTTACGTTTTTTAATATATATTGCGTTTTTTTCATTTGATATGGAAAATTCCGGAGTTTATATATTTTTAACGAAGGATACTAGATTACTATTAAGTATTCTATGTTGTGTATAAAAGGTTTGAGGATATTAGGTTGTGTGACAAAAATATAGAGTTGTTTACGTTTTTATGTAAAATAAAGGGTTTTTTACGTTTTTTAATATATATGTAGTTTTTTTCCTTTGGTATGGAAAATTCCGAAATTTATATATTTTTAGCGGAGGATACCAGATTACTATTAAGTATTCTATGTTGTGTATAAAAGGTTTGAGGATATTAGGTTCTATGACAAAAATATAGAGTTGTTTACGTTTTTATATAAAATAAGGGGTTTTTTTACGTTTTTTAATATATATTGTGTTTTTTTCATTTGATATGGAAAATTCCGGAGTTTATATATTTTTAACGGAGGATGCTAGATTACTATTAAGTATTCTATGTTGTGTATAAAAGGTTTGAGGATATTAGGTTGTGTGACAAAAATATAGAGTTGTTTACGTTTTTATGTAAAATAAAGGGTTTTTTACGTTTTTTAATATATATGGAGTTTTTTTCCTTTGATATGGAAAATTCCGGAGTTTATATATTTTTAACGGAGGATGCTAGATTACTGTTAAGTATTCTATGTTGTGTATAAAAGGTTTGAGGATATTAGGTTCTATGACAAAAATATAGAGTTGTTTACGTTTTTATATAAAATAAGGGGTTTTTTACGTTTTTTATAAGAATGTCTGTTAAATACTTCTTTTCAATATTTAGAACATTAGTAAGCTTATAGTTAACATACCTATAAAAATGTAAATTTGGCTCTTAGTAGAATTTTGCTTTGTGCTACCCGAATTCCCTGAAATGCTCTCCAGTTAGTTTCGGTCACAACCAGAACTCAAATATCAAATTTCAAGAAATTCCATCAATTCGTTCCGTAGATATGGTGAAAAATGTAAAATTGGCTCGCAGATCAGTTTTCGAGCCCTGATCTTTCCAAAAAATTTATATATTCATTGTTTTAATACGAAGAATTCAAATATTAAATTTCAATAAAATCGGTTGATTACTTCTCTTTATATACGCAAAAATTTATATTTGGCCTGTAGTAAACGTCTAGTTGCCGATGCCTGATTTCTTCCAAAAGTTAGGAGGTTTCGCGGACGGTCGAGCTCAGCTTATATATGAAATTTCAAGTAAATCGGTTGAATATTTTCTTCAAAATGTTCAAAAATGTAAAAAAGGCCCGCTAAAAAGAACACTTCCTGAGGCCTGATATATCCCAAAAGTTGATCAATCCGTGCCATGGTGGAAATAAACCTACATATAAAATTTCATCAAAATTGGCTCAGAACTTGAGATACACGCGTTGCTAAAAATAGACCGACAGGTTGCTAAAAATAGTATACTTACACTTCCCTACATTCCCACCGCAAACTCGAAGTGCATTCCCACCGAAAACTCGATATGCAAAATTTGTTGCCATCACATAACCTACCTATTGTATACACAATACGGTCGGTAAAAATTAATAAACCTGAATAAACTATGATCATAACCCTCCATCTTATCCACATGTATGTAATATTTCAACTTTTTATAAACCTAATATTTTAGTTTATGAATGCATTAAACCCTTTGATTTTGAAGGGATCGAATTACGATATCTATGTGTGTATGTTATATTAATTTCAGATTTTGATAAAAATTTCATTTCATATTTATAGCATATATTTTTGATTCGATAATTTTGCGATCGATTTCAGTATGTCCAATGAAGCTTGAATAAATTTTTCATGCGCATGCACCTATGCGTATACACAAAAATACTTAATTCATAAATGTAAAAGAATATTTAATGTAACATTGTAACAAACACATTTTAATCAACACTTTTAATAATAATTTCAGTGATTTTATCTTGGTTTTCGCTTTTGTATTGGTTATGATGATTTATACGAAGTCTTCTAAGTGCTTTGAGGTGATTTGTTAGAAAAAGAATTGAAATAAAGTGAACTCAAGCCCCTTATTTTTTAACATTGTAAAGTAACATTTGTAATGATTAAAAAATTATTGTTTATTAAGTTTTTTCAATCTGAATAGAAGACTATAAATAACAAAACCCTATTCAAACATCTATTCGATGTTTGAATTTCATTCGTCCCCGTCACTAAATTGAATTCGTTCAATTTGACATACGCTTTCATTCGTTATTAAATTTAAAAATGTTTTCGTCAATTTTATTAATAACTTACCTTTATCAACTTTGGCTCGAAAAGGTACTTAGAATTGTGCGACCATATTACGTGGAATTAGTCCAACAACCATTTACGTTAAGAATTTTGCCTTTGCGATTTGATTTTCAAGCTAAGTAAAATAATAGTTTTTCCCTACTTTCTATCATTTGTCCAATAAACATGGTATATTCTTTTAGCTACAATATTTTTACTAAAATATATTTGCGTAATAAATGATAATGAAAATCGTTAAGCACATAAAAAATTTTTATTTCTGTCAAATCAGATAAGAACGTAGATATTCGTGTCTAAGACTTGGTGGAGGATGGGCCTTTGGAGAGTTTGGAGATATATATGTTTTATGTAAAACATCACCATATGTGTAAGGGATAATCAAGCCACATTATGATGACTGAGAAGTATTTAATTTTGATATGATACTTCTGAAAAAGTAAATAATTTTTCAATACATATGCTTCTTCGTCTATGGAACCAGTTAGAAAAAGCATAAGTAAGGATACAAAAGCCTATAAAACAAAATATCTCACATATTACAGTAAAGTCAGTATGCTTGATATTTTGTATGGATGTTACCATTTAAAAATAAATTGATTGAGATTCATAATTAAATTTAAAAGAAAACATATATAAGCGCCACCATAAAAGCATTAAATAATTTAATATTAATTTTTTTATTATTGTTGTGATAATTATTTATATGCGTCCTATGCGCACGTGCGGAAACATGTACTAAGCGACAATTCATAAATTATGTAAAATATAACAAAAACTTCTCTGTATAATAGGTAAATAATTGTACAACTATATGAGATTTTGTTAGAATACCGCGCTCAATTTATGAGTTGCATTGATCATGCCATAGATGCATTTTGTTTAATTTAGAAATTGTAATATTCTCTATGAACATTCAAACAGCTCAAATATACATTCTACATACATACATATTTTAAATAAATACTTTTCTTTTATTACTTTATTTTTGTAACAACAAAAACAAAAAAAAAGCAAATGCATTTTATTTTTTCAAAATATTCTCAAAAATAGCAAAATACTTTAATTTTAACAGCTAAAAATGATTTTTGTTTTTAATTTGCCTTAATTTTAATAATTGGATCGTTTATTTTAAAAGTCTCGTAAGTCCAAAATTACATTTGCAAATAAAATATTATAAAATTTACGTTAAAAGCAATTCAAAAATTCGATTGACTGTAAATATGTATGTTCTGTAAATATGTATGTTTAACAACATATTATTAAATTGTTGAAAAAAATGAAACAGTTTTGAAATCGCAAATATGGACTTAGGCCACTCTCAAAATTAATATTTTAATTATATTTTTTATTGTAATTAAGTCTTTCTATAAGTTTTTTATATTATTCAAAATTAAATTAAATTATGAACAGAAAACTTTAAATATAACAAAATCATTTTACATATTTTTTTTCCAAATTTTATAAATTCTCTTACAATTGAATATTTTTTTTAGTAAATTATATAAGTTTATTCGCAATATCGAATCACTAAATCATAATGATATTTATCGTAAAAAATTCAATATTATTATTGTAACAATTTTTGAAATTTTTACGATAAATATTACCATCGATTCGATGTTTTAAATTTTTTTAAATAAGTTTTACATAATACATAAAATATTTTATATAAATGATAAAAGTATTTTCTATGGTATTTTAGCCGTATTTATATAGATCTTAAATTTATAATATTGTATAACTAAAATATTATAATTAAATAGGCGCAACAAAAATATAAAAAAAAAAAAACAATTTTTTCTCTCTAAATATGGAAATGAATTTTTAAAATTATTAAGAGAATCTATGTGTATTATTTAATTTAATACAAAAAATTTTAAATTATACATTAACAATGAATATTTTAATTTTTAATTTATATATATTAAAAAATTATAACAGGAAAAATGCTATATTATAATTCTTAATTAAAAAATTAATTGAGTTGATTACTTTTAACAATGATTTTTCTAATTAATAAATTTATGGAACTTATTGAGAAAATTTCATGATTGACAATAATTATAATATAATATTAATATAGTATAGTATTAATAATTTTACATAATAATAAATGGTAATGATACAAAAAAAAACTATCAAATTTTTTTGAATTTTAGTGATGTCAGCATGCGCAATCTCTTTTCTTTCCGCCTGAACCACCATATCCCGATGATCCTTGCAAATCAATTTTATCGGCATCTAAATCGGCAGCACTTATTAATTTATCATTAAGAAGAATCTAAAATAAAACAAAAAATGTATATGTAGTAAATATAAGAATGTGTTGAATAAAATAAAAATTTTTAAAATAAAGATTATGAATTGAGTAATTAATATTATCTCCAATAATAATGAAAATGTTATGTTAGTAAATGACTAGCGTTATTTGGAATATTAGAATAAAAGATTATCAAAATATTAAATTAAGTTAGTATGTGTGTATTTTGAAACTGCACTGTGTTTAAATAAAAATCTACTAAAAATGCCAAAGTTCAAATGTTTTTCTGTGTTCGTTTTTAAAATATGAAATAAATTTCGCGTCAATTTTAATAATATTATGTTTTAAACATTTTATGAAATCAAAGAAGGCTTTAATTACAGCAAATTTTAAAATCAAACAAAATACCTTGTTTACTAGGGCTCTAGCTGCTTCATCTATATTAATATTTTCTTTTGCTGATGTTTCGAACCAACCAGCAAAACCATTTTCTTTAACATATTCATCCATTTTTTCTGGATTTGTAACTAAACCTTGTTTTTCTTGATCGCACTAAAAATAAATTGAAAATATTTTAACAAATTTTTCTTAACACTTAAACTAAATTTATATATAAAAGAAATTAATTACCTTATTTGCCAATAATATACAAGGTATTGGACTACCATCAGGTAATTGAACTTTTGAATCAAGATCTTCTTTCCATTTACTAACACATTCAAATGTTCCACTACGCGTTACATCAAATACAATAAATGCACCAACAGCATCTTTATAATAAACTCTTGTCATATTACCAAAACGTTCTTGTCCAGCAATATCCCATAATTGTAATCTAATAATTGTATTTTGATCCCAATGTAATACTTTTAGTGCAAAATCAACACCAATTGTTGCTCGATAATTTTGACTAAAGAATTTATGAACATATCGTTTAATAAATGATGTTTTTCCAGTACCTAATTCACCTATTATTAATATTTTATATAAATGTTCTCGTTTATCACCACTTGACGTCATTATTGGCTAAAAAATAACAAATTTTGTATTAATAAAAAATAAAAAATTGGAAAAATTATATTAGAAATTAGTCACAATATTTAAAATTAAAATATTTTATTGTAAGTTGTTTTACAAGTGAAATTTTTGGTTATTAACACGTTTATGAAGCAAGATAACCATTATCTTTTTAAGATCTACACACATTTGTGTTTCTTTGCCATATAATAATAAATTATGCTTGAATAATCGCAAGTGAAATGATTTGTGTTGTCCAAACGATATTGTACTTGTTTTTTGTATTTTGGCCCGGGCGAATTTCCATGTATACAAAATTCAAAAAAGTCTTAAATTTATAAATCGTCCATAAACGTGTTAATTCATAAATTTTACATATTTTTTGAAGAGAATTTGTTGTGTCACAAGATTTTAATAGGAAAATATTTACTTTATTGTTACTTACAATAAATAAAAACTCACAATATTTTGAATTTTCTCTAATTCCTTGTAACTTAAATATTTTTTTAACATTTTACATTGCATTTTCAAAAAAAATCTATTATTTATTAAAATTTAATATGAGATTAAAAATTACATAAAAAATTCACAACCGACACCATTTAGTAAAAGTTTAAAACTAACCAAAATATTAAAAAGCTCTAATCCTGATGGTAGTAGACAACAATAATTTTTTTAATGGGTGTATAAAGTTGCAAGATTGCATGAAATTAAGGTCTGCTCTAATTAATTCCTTTTCTTATTGTAAATTTTTTTTTTAATTACAATTTATACAGTTTTTGTTATGTGTTTTAGAATGACATTAAAGATCTACATAAATATTTGCATACAGTGAATGTTATAAAATACAATGTTTGAAGCTATAAATTCAAAAAAATATATACACATACTTATATATACATAAATATTAAGATTCGTTGCAAATTGTACGAATTGCAAAAAAATGAAAGTGAAAATCACCAGCAATTCAGATAAGATAATTTAAATCGCTTATTTATACATAGGAGAAATAAATAAATCAAAATTTTTTATGATGCAAGAACAAGATTTCGAAGCAAAAAAATTGAGAGAATATTTAAATATTATTTTCGATTCTATTGCATTCAATATTCTGAAGTCAAGCAGGACCAAATTAAATAATCAGAGATTATCACAGTCATAGAAGACTGCTGGCAAACAAAAATATGAAATTAATAGCTGGGAATTTTTTTTAGATATTTTCGAATACTTGAGAAAGAAACTGAGTATCAATTTTACAATTTTTTTTTAACATATAGCCGTATATTGTAGATAAGATGTGATTTTTGACAGTAGAGTAAGAAATTGACGCTATAAAAACATATTGTTATCAAAATTAATATTTGGTTCATTACTTCGCCGCATATATCACCATCAAATTTAAAAATTAGTTTATTTTTTCTCCACATGCCTTTATTGGGATTTTTGCAGCCATGCTCTGAATAAATTTACGATTATGTTGCAAATTAATTCTTAAAAATGTTAAACAATTCAAGTCCTGAATATAAAACAAAAGTAAATCACTATTTCTAATATTATTAAATCAAAATAAATTTAGGTTTATTAATAAATTAATATTTTATGAAAGATTACTAACCACATTTTAAGAATTGAAGTTATTTATTAACAATTTTTTCACAAAGCATTTTTGTCTCAAATTACAATCTAATGCCGTCTACCTAATTCTGATTGGGGTCATTATTCTTTATATATAATTATACTACAATAGTATTAGAATTACAGTAATATTTGTAATATTAAACATAACATATTTAATATTTTTACATTTCAAATTTTTAAAAGTAAAGAAACCTTACATGAATACGTCTTTTAAATTGTGGTATTTTTTGATTTTCTTTGATATTGATTTAGATAACTTTATCTTCTAACCAAGTACAAACATAACATACATACATATAAGTATGAACGCATAAATGAATTGAAAAACAAACAGAATCGTACGACAAACATTTTTTTGGCTTAATATTTGGTAATGGTTTGGATACCTTTAAATAAATAACTTTATATACTTAAAATATAAATTCTTCTGGCGAAGTTTCCAAACAATTGATTTATATTAATTCTAAGCCTGAATTATCAATGTTTTATCGTTCATATACGCAGTAAATTCTAGATATGTGCAGCTTACTTAACTCCGTTTTTCTTTTTTAATCAAATTTATATACAATTTACGATATATTTTCCTGATTAAATAAGTATAGATAGTGAAAAATTTATATGTATTCTATAATTCAATTTGTTTTCCGTATAGAACAACTTGTTTTTTGCTTTACAATCATTATATTTTTCATACGACATTTTTGATCAGTGTCTATGTTCTGAAAAGCTTCGCTAGATCTCAAACAACCAAAAGGAAATCAAAAATTATAAAATTTTTTAAACACAAATCAAAATAATTTGGTTAGTAATTTGAAATTTTATGCGATTTGTTGACATTATCCCAGTTTATCGAGTTGTTGTCGCATTTAAACGAGATGGTTATGACTTAGGGATTCCCGCATTAATTGCACAAAATTTTGGAACGACGCGATTTTATAAAGTTCATTGTATGTTTTTTAATATTCTTCATAAATGGGTTATGGTAAGTAGAACTTTTTTGCTTTTTAAAACTTTTTTATTAATTTTCCTTTTTTTCACACAATTTCTATGACAGAAACTGTAGTAAAATAATGAGCAGAAAATTTGATCATTTTGTAGCACACAAATTACATTGAGGAAAAGTTACAACACTATCCGCTAACCGCTATACAACGTAATGAATATTTTGTAAGGTTAACAGTGTAAAAATTATATATGTATGCATTTCAAAAAAGATTGTTTTACTTCATGAAAATTTAAAATTCTATATTTAAGCAAACAACGACATTCGTTAAAATATGAAATGAGTATGGAAAAATTTCATAAACAAACCATTGTCACATAATTTAAGTTCAGATTATAACTTTATAATTTAAATTAAATAACATTTTGCAGTGTTCGTTTCTGTTACATACACATACACCGCTTTATCAACGTTGAGTTCCTTCTAATGCAAAGTTCATGTACTCATGTACTGTAATATTTTTTAAAAAATATTGAAATACATAACACACACAATCTTCAATAATTCTGAAAATTTTGAAATTTCAACATAATCTTCTCTGTTCGCATGTAAACAAAATGACACTGTCTTGTAATGTTATAAAAAATAATTGTATTAAATTTCTAGACTATGACTATTTTAATTTTAATTCGCCTACCATACAACATAAGAGTTAAAATAAAAATACAGGAAATTATTGGAAAAAGGAACTTATAAGGTTTCCTCGACAACATTTTTTCTATGCATGAATGTACGTATCAATAAAAGAGTTGTTATATCATTCACAAGATTATTAATTAAGCAAAAAGAAAAAAAATGTTGGAATATTTAAAAAACACATTCAAATACTTGAGGGATCATAATTTAAAAAACCCGAAACATGAAAAAATTAACTTCAATTTCCACAATTGAAAGAAATCAACCTAATCAATTATAAAAATGTCAAATACGATCGTAACGCAAAGAAAAGAAATTTTACAATTCGTACAATAAAAGACGTGCGCTTACCGCCACCTCATTATCCATAGTTAAATCTCCAAAAGCAGGCATTACCACTAAATATTCCTGTTGCTGCTGTTGTTCTTGTTGATTTTGCTGCTGTTGTTGTGCTGCAATTAATTCAGAATCTAAAGAATATTCACTAATTCCAGATAAATAACTTTCTCTATTAATACTTTCAATTAATTCTCGTTCCTCCTCGTCAGAATAGTAATCGGTTTCGTTACGATTCCTTTTATTTTTGTCAAAACGACGACTTCTAGATGGACTTGGACTAACTGATGGTAATAAAATTGAATCTGGTTGTTGGCTATCTGAAATATTTAATTGGCTGACTGGTTGTGAACGTACAATTTTACCAACTGAAAATTCAATCAGATGATTATTATTGCCACCGTCACTAAATTGATGCTGTTGTTTTGGTGGTGTAGGTGGTGTTGGTGGTAAAGGTGGATAATTTTCTATGTCAAATATAATTTCTTTAGCTTCTATGACACCAATTGATCCACTTAAATTTGGATTTTGTATATTATTTCCAGTTTTTGGATATTGTAATATTTGTTTTGGAGTTTTTTCGATTTGTAAAAGTTCGTCGTCGGTTGGACGAGGTCCTCTTGGATATCTGCGACCACGTTCTGATGATTTATCACGCTGTTGCATCTGCCAATCAGCAGAGGAATCGTTAATTGGTTTTTTAATTTTTTGTTCTTGAACTGGTGTTTTCTTAATAGCACCTTTATTTAGATTAGGACTATTACCTTCTGGTGGTGTTGGTTTTGGTGGTGCACGTTCTGATGGCGGGGTATCTCTTAAACTTTGTGTAATAACAAGTTTTTCTTGTTTTTCGGATGATTTTGTTTGTTCTTTTGGTGAAGAAGATTTAGACAAAGATTTTGCTTTACGCCTTGATTGTCTCTTATTTGTAGATGTTGTTGATGTGACGACCGGTAAAGATGAATGTGACTGTTCTGCTAGAATCAATTTACGTTCACTTGATAATGACGGCGACAATGAAGATGTTTCTTTAGTCGTCTGCTCGACTTCTGTCGCCGTTAAATAATCTTCTTCTCCTGATATCGACGTCGTTGTGGTTGGTAATTTATCGCGATTTTTATCAACACGTTCAATTTTTTTACCTTGTATTGTAATTTGAATTTTTCTAACTTTCTCAAATTTCAATGGATTTTCAGATTCTTTTAATTCTTTTGATGAGTATTTTATTTCACTATTATTATTTTTATTTGAATTTTTACCGGTCTTATCAGTTATGACGAAGTTTACACCATCGCGGCTAATAATATTCTGCTTTTGTTGCAAATTTTTATTATTTTCCTTTTTAAATTCGAATTTTTTTTTATCTTGATTATCTTTTACGTTTGCTTCGTAGTCTTCGTCATTGTCGTAATAGTCATTATTGTTCTCTATATTATTGTCTGTTTCGTTGTCACTTGGCAAATCAATTAAACTAACTTGTGAGAGATTTAAATTATCATTGTTTTCGTATTTTCTGTTTGTAGACGACCCTAGATCTGATAATGGATGATGTTGCAGTGTAGTTGAAGTTTGTGAAGAACTTAAAGTTTCTGATGTAGTTAAAGATGATTTTAATAATTGTTGTTGCTCTTGTTGTTCTTTATTTTCACTACTGCTACTGGATTTTTTAGGTGCTCCACGATACTTTTTAATAGTAAGTGAAAATTTTTTTGATAATTTTGTTTTCTTTTTAGTTTTCTCTTTATCGTCGTTTTTTGGATCAATTTCAATATCTTCACCTGATGTAATTAAACCACCTTCTGTAGGATCAACAGGAGCTTTTTTTCGAGATGATTTTGTACCACGTAATGAACGAAATGCTGAACTTAATCGAGATCTTGATTTTATTTTAGCTGGTGGTGTTAATGGTATTTCTTCTTCAATAATATGTGTTACAGTATCCTCGGAGAATGATTTTTTTAAAAGATTTTTGTGAAAAATTGGTGACGATTCGGAATGTGTTCTTTCAGTTCTCTCTTTGTCACTACTAATATCTAAGGTTTCCTCTAAGGTATTTGTAGAACCAGATCTTTTCATTTTTCATAGAAGCAAGACAATATTGAAGGTTACTTTGTATATCTCCTTTAAAGATTATTCTTGATCTATTATAAATTATTTTTAAATATTCGATGCAATATTTCCATTGCATAGTCCACTTTTATGTTCTGATATTAAGTGCAATGAAAATTAAATGCTACAATAAAATCCTGTCCTCGGTTCACTTATTTTTTTTTTCTTTTGGACTTCTAAGAATATTTTTTTTTAATCCCACATTTTAATTTTAATTTAAAATTTAAAACACTGTTTACAGAAAAATACTGAGAATCCGACCGATATTTTTAATATAATAACGATTATTTCGGTATTTCGAAATTTATGTACTAAAAAAAGGAAAAGTTTTTCATAATATTCTTTTCTAAATATTTATTTTTATTTTATTTTCTATTGCTTAAATTCTATTTTAAACCAACCACAAAGCTACAATGAAATGAAGTCAAAATATCTGATGTCTTAGCTTTTATAAACAATCAAATGTGGTAAGATAAAACCCTCCCTTAGGACAGAAATACAAGTAAAACAACAAGAGCTTTAGTTTTTAATTTTTGGTTTTTTTTGTGTTTCTTGTATTTTACGTATATTACGTGCAAAACCAGTTAGTAAATGCACATGACTATATCGAAATATGAAAACCGTATAAGAATATGTGTATTAATTAGTGTAGGAACATTATGGATATACTTTTCGCAAATAAAGACTAAAAAACTAGTGCAATTTTGTTCTGGTTCTTAATTACTTGTTTATGAATGAAACTGATGACAGCGTAAAGAATTGGGTATCTTGGTAGTATAAGTGTGTTTGTGCTTGGAAAAATAATAATATTATTTAAAGAGCAAAATAAACAGTGGCGGACACGATAATAATTTCCTGCTTATTATGCAAATTATTCGATATTATATATTACGATATTAGTACCAGCGTTTTAAAACATTAGAAAAATCCGTTGACAGTAAAGTTAGAAAAAGGATTTTCCTTTGTTGTTAACTTCTAACTAAAAAAATTCAAGTAGTCAAACAAATGTCAACTTAACTTCCATTATCTTGCTTCTTTTATTTTAAATTAGACTAGAATTTTCTCAATATTCCGACAATTGTTCAAAACAAGTGAATCACAAATAGGCCCGTATTTAAATTTAATGCAAACCTTGTCACTTACGTGCGATATTTTGTATAAATTTTTCGTTGTCATCAGGCAAGATTTTTTTAAGAGAATTTTTTTCTCGATTTTTTAAGAGAAAACGAGAGTTTAAACCATTCTAAAATGTGTGTTTCAATAATAATGTCAACTAATGCTCATATTTAGCACTTAATATACAAAGAAAACAACAAAAAATTAAAATTGCGTGAATATTCGTATTAAATTTCAGCTTTGAATAAATAAAACTATTTTTAATTTTTCCATTATCTTTTTTACCAGATAATTTCGGTTTTTATTTTGAACTTATTAGTGATGCACTTTTTGATCTTAAACTAGAAACTAAAATTTAAAGTTATATAATTTTAAAGGTATGTATTTGAAAAATTATAATGTCGTCGACGCGAATAATGAAATTTAATCCAAGCGAAAACAAATTCAAAAAATAAACACAAATTTTTTAAAATTGCTGCTATATACAAAGATAAGAATGACGAAATTATTTTATTAGAGTAAATAAATTTTATGACTCTTGGTGACTATGAAAAAAATTCCAATGAATGGCTGTCTGTTAGCTCTATCGACCGCTTACCTAATATGATACCCCCAGTTTAGCCGCTGATCCATGACCAATTTGTGTCCAGTTCCCTTGTTTTCGTTCAACTACGACCCCATCATGGTGGCTCCTCACAATAACGACTAAATCATTAGCCTAACCTTACACATTAAACCCGCTATTAGACAGCTTGTACAGTAGAACATTCTTCAGCGAGCACAAAAACAGAGGAGTCAAGGCTTCTTCCTGCGGACAGCCTAGTATATTTTTAAACCTAGCATTTCAATTAAATTATTTAAAATAGCCCCTTTCAAAACAAATAATAAAATTAGGTATTTTACTATAGGAAGAAAGGTAAATTTAAATTGTTTACTTTAAGTAAGTAGGTTTTATGTCAAGGCGTCCTTGTAATTTCTTTTACTTCAGAATTTATAAAATAAAAATTTAATAAAGTCATTTTATATTTTTAAAATATTATAAAAATTGAGATTGATAGTTGCAGTAGGTGTTGTTTATATACCTAATCCTATATTGTAAACAGTAGATTCCTACATTTAGTATTTTCATCGAGCGAATATCGAACCCATTATTGATTGATATTTGTGAAAAATATTGACGATTTGGGGGGTGTGTTTTGAACTGCAGTTTGACATTTTTCCAAGACGAAATGACAAACAAAACAGAGTCGATTCGGCTTTGACAACTCTGACGATTTACAGAACACCAAAAACAAAACATTAGTCGTTCTAAATTTTTACCGACTGTATTGTGTATACAATAGGTAGGTTATGTGATGGCAACAAATTTTGCATATCGAGTTTTCGGTGGGAATGCACTTCTCCATAGTAGGGAAGTGCAAGTAAACTATTTTTAGCAACCTGTCGGTCTGTGTGTGCACGCGTGTATCTCAAGTTCTGCTGGACCAATTTTAATGAAATTTTATATGCAAGTTTATTTCAACCATGGCACGGTTTGATCAACTTTTGGGATATATCAGGCCTCGGGAAGTGAACTTTTTAGCGCGCCTGTTTTACATTTTTGAACATTTTGAAGAAAATATTCAACCGATTTACTTGAAATTTCATATATAAGCTAAGCTCGACCGTCCGCGAAACCTCGTAACTTTTGGAAGAAATCAGGCATCGGCAACTAAATGTTTACTACGGGTCAAATATACATTTTTGCGTATATAAAGAGAAATAATCAGCCGATTTCATTGAAATTTAATATTTGAATTCTTCGTATTAAAACAATGAATATATACATTTTTTGGAAAGATCAGGGCTCGAAATCTGATCTGCGGGCCAATTTTACATTTTTCACCATATCTACGGAACGAATTGATGGAATTTCTTGAAATTTGATATTTGAGTTCTGGTTGAGACCGAAACTAACTGGCGAGCATTTCAGGAAATTCGGGTAGCACAAAGCAAAATTCTACTAAGAGCCAAATTTACATTTTTCTAAGTATGTTAACTATAAGCTTACTAATGTTCAAAAAATTGGAAAGAAATAACAGACATCCTTATAAAAAACGTAAAAAACCTCTTATTTTACATAAAAACGTAAACAACTCTATATTTTTGTCATAGAACCTAATGTGCTCAAACCTTTTATACACAACATAGAATACTTAAAAGTACTCTAGTATCCTCCGTTAAAAATATATAAACTCCGGAATTTTCCACATCGAATGATAAAAACACCATGTCTGGTTTAAAACGTAAAAAACACCTTATTTTACATAAAAACGTAAACAACTTTATATTTTTGTCATAGAACCTAATATCCTCAAACCTTTTATACACAACATAGAATACTTAAAAGTACTCTAGTATCCTCCGTTAAAAATATATAAACTCCGGAATTTTCCATATCAAAGGAAAAAAACTTCATATATATTAAAAAACGTAAAAAACTCCTTATTTTACATAAAAACGTAAACAACTCTATATTTTTGTCATAGAACCTAATGTGCTCAAACCTTTTATACACAACATAGAATACTTAAAAGTACTCTAGTATCCTCCGTTAAAAATATATAAACTCCGGAATTTTCCATATCAAACGAAAAAAACTTCATATATATTAAAAAACGTAAAAACTCCTTATTTTACATAAAAACGTAAACAACTCTATATCTTTGTCATAGAACCTAATGCGCTCAAACCTTTTATACACAACATAGAATACTTAAAAGTACTCTAGTATCCTCCGTTAAAAATATATAAACTCCGGAATTTTCCATATCAAAGGAAAAAAACTTCATATATATTAAAAAACGTAAAAAACTCCTTATTTTACATAAAAACGTAAACAACTCTATATTTTTGTCATAGAACCTAATGTGCTCAAACCTTTTATACACAACATAGAATACTTAAAGGTACTCTAGTATCCTCCGTTAAAAATATATAAACTCCGGAATTTTCCATATCAAAGGAAAAAAACTTCATATATATTAAAAAACGTAAAAAACTCCTTATTTTACATAAAAACGTAAACAACTCTATATTTTTGTCATAGAACCTAATGTGCTCAAACCTTTTATACACAACACAGAATACTTAAAAGTACTCTAGTATCCTCCGTTAAAAATATATAAACTCCGGAATTTTCCATATCAAAGGAAAAAAACTTCATATATATTAAAAAACGTAAGAAACCCCTTATTTTACATAAAAACGTAAACAACTCTATATTTTTGTCGTAGAACCTAATGTGCTCAAACCTTTTATACACAACATAGAATACTTAAAAGTACTCTAGTATCCTCCGTTAAAAATATACAAACTCCGGAATTTTCCACATCGAATGATAAAAACACCATGTCTGGTTTAAAACGTAAAAAACACCTTATTTTACATAAAAACGTAACCAACTCTATATTTTTGTCATGGAACCCAAGATCCTCAAACCTTTATACACAACGAAAAAGAATAATCTTTTAAATTTGTAAACATTTGTAAATAAGTATTTAGAACAACGATTGCAATCTGAACCACTACAATCAAAATCAATAGTAGAATATTTACCGACCGTATTGTGTATGCAATTTTGATGAAATTTTATATGTAAGTTCATTTCCACCATGGCACGGATTGATCAAGTTTTGGGATATATCAGGCCTCGGGAAGTGCACTTTTTAGCGGGCCTGTTTTACATTTTTGACCATTTTAAAGAAACTATTCAACCGATTTGCTTATAATTTCATATATAAGTTTCGCTCGCTCAAAAAAGTTTGAGTTCATATAACAGACTAGTCAATACAACATAACTTATATGGACATAAAAAATAACATACTTGTATTATATAAGCATATAATTTCAGGTCCATATTGCCGTGAGTCTACTGTATTCATTGCACATATCTATATTGTGTACTTTATATTTAAAAAGATAAAAATTCATCAGCCTAAATGTATTTAAAGAACTTTTACCATTTTACATTTTATATACAAGTAAGTGTGTACCATATACATATGTACATATGTAAATTTATTAAATTTTTGGTAAAAACTCGAATAGATAAAAAAAGATAATTTCTTACGTACATATTAAAATAAAGTAAATATAAAGAAACTTATCTTAAATTATAATAAAAAATAAGATGAGAAGAAGAACTTAATCAGAAATTTATTTAAAGCATGTGCAATAAGAAAAATTTTTGGACAAACTATTACAGAGTACTTCATTTAACAATATGAAAGTATTATAAAGCAT